CGTAAATGCAGCTTTGACTTTTCTTGGAGGGAGTTGGCTCGTTGGAGGATGTTTTCATTAATCAAAGGAAAGTGAAGCCCGATATTTACAGTAGTGCTCAATAAATTATTCATACACTTTGGAAAATAACATGCTTTTTCCAATTTCTTCATTTGTAAAAGCTATTATGTTGGTACTTCCCTTTTTTTCCATTTGTTACAATACACAAACCAACACGTGTGTTGGCTAAACCATTTGCATAATAATAGATACGGCCCAGGTTTCGTTTTGGGTCATGGTCCAAATTATTCATACCCAAGACAAAATCCCCCCCAAAATTGTCCTTCCATTCATAGTGCTTATGTTCACTTCCTATGCTGCAAGAATCTTTGGCAACATCTCCCTAAAAGAGTATAAAAAGAACAATTTTCAGATCATTCTCAATTACTCGTCTATATGGCCAAGAAGAAGGAATTCAGTGAGGATATAGTCACCAGTGTATCGTGAATGCCCATAAAGAAGACAAAGACTACAAGGCAAATTTCCAGGTCCCTATTGCAACAGTTCAGTCTATCAACAGAAAGAATATAAAGCACCTCAACACAGTGAAAAACCTCAATGGGCGTGGCAGGAAGAGCAAAGTATCTCCTAGATTCGCCAGAAAAACCTGCAACAACCTACAGATCACAACAAAGGCCTTAACCCTAACTCTCCTCAATCCTTCAACAGGTGAAGGATTCAGGAGGGTTAGGGTTAATTGATACCCTTGACAAGGCAAAGACGAAGGCGTCACGGGCAACCATCCAGCGAATATTGCACAAAGGAGGTCTCCACGGACGCAGGCCCAGGAAGACACCACTACTCAGGAAGAAACATAAGGAGGCTCGTCTGGCAGTCTTTGACAATGGTTTTCAAGTCCGGCCTTTCTGTCCTTTCTTTTTATATAAAAGAAAAAAGAAATTTTTTTAGTCATTTTTAAAACCTTTAAAAACAAAAAGCTCCCTCTTTAATTGAGAGGAAGGGCTTTTTTGCGTCAGCGACTTGTGTTTCTCAAGTTTCTTACACTCGATACACATATCTTTCTGTTTACCATGTTCACACATTGTCGGTGTAGAGATTAAAAACCTGATTTATACTTATTATTTCAACAAGAAAAAGACCTTTCATGCGATAGTTTTTACTGTTTCGGTTCATTTCCACTTCCAAGATCGGTCTGCAGAAAGAGCAGCTATTTTTATAAAGCCCGTGTTTACACGTTATCTGGCGTTTATGGTGATCCAACAACGTGTACAACAGGCCATTAGTTAACCCGTATCTTCTTGGTTTTTCTTTGTAGCATTTAATACACTTGTTTACTTTAATTACACTTTTTTTTGTCAACCGTGGTTCGTTGCCTTAGCCTCGCGACCAGCCTAGAACCAGTTTAGTTTGTCGGTATGGTTTGTCGGTATTGAGACTGCGCCCCGGGGGGCTGGGTTCGTAGCGAAGCAAGGTGGTTGAGCGAAGAGACGCGATTGGGCGATGGGTGGGTTTTGGAGAGTTAGCTCCCTTGGT